GACTGGACTGAAGTGGACTTCCTCTGCCCTGCCCTGTAATGTTCAGCTCAAAGTGTGTGAGGCGGGTGTTTTTCCACATGTGTGCAGACGGTACGAGCACCAGAGTTTGACCCACAGTGAGCCCTGGGTCTCTGTTGTGTGGTGTCCCAAAGTCCACACCTGTGCAGCAGGTCCAGTTCAGACAGCAGCGTGCATACCAGCTCTTATGTCAACTAACGGACTCAGACTGTTCACAGATAACGGACGGAGGACACATACCTCAACACACTGAACACTGTATGCCGTGTTTTTACTCTGTGGGAATGTACTCCAGCCTGTTAATGATTTCTACATCATGTCATGGGCGTTAAATACCCTCAAAACTACCCGAGATTATCTGTAACAGTATCAGGCAAAACACTGCATTAACTGCTAATCCCCCTGATTTTTGGATTAGATCAGCGTGTTTACAGCCCTTATCTGTAATCTCACAGTATCTGGGTGTCCCTCTAGGTTTTTAAACTGCCAGACTTGGAGGGACAGGATTTCTGACGAACACGTTATCAGATGAGATCAGTGCGCTCACGGCGTTTATCTCTAAATCTCCCATCTTTTGTTTTTTCAGCTGTGTGGCTCGCCTACTGTAACCAGAAATCAAAGCGGGTTGTTGTTGACCTAAAAACAGCAGCAGGTCACCGAGGCGGCTGAATGCTGCAGATGCCTTCTATGGCCACGTGTTTCTGTGTTGATTCCTGCTGCAATTAAAACACACGATTCAGTTCTGATGTCTTGGTTTGTGTCTGCAGGCGTCAGGTTTAAATGCAGACAGGAAACCTGTTGTCTTAGTGTTTTTCTAGGACGTGCCAGTGGCTGAAGCTGAGGCAGAGCGCTGTGGTGTTTTATTACCAACACGGTGCGCTGTTCTAGCAGATGCATTCATAATGGTTGATTAATGTAGGACTGCAGCTAACTATGATGTTCGTTATTGATTAGTCTGCTCATTATTGTCTTCATTAATCAGTTGATCTGTCAAATGAAAGCAGCAGAATATCCCGTTCACACTCTCCTGTAGTTTTTATATTTAGTCAGACAAACGGCTAAAATCCATCAGATGTTCAATTTATTATATGAAATGGAGAAAAGCGTTCAGTTTAGCATTTATGACCGACGAATTACTTTAGCAGCTTGATGAATGACTAATACTATATTATGTCTGTAGTTAAAGTCAGCAGATTGCTGTCAGGTGACTGATTGTTTCAGCCCAAAGTGGTAGCAAAGCAACAAAACAAGAACCAGAACTTGATGAAGCATCCTGGTTCTGATGCAGTAGCTGAGAAACGTACGAACTTCAGTGAGGTCCCAGATCCCCGGGGTTACTCTGTGTCACTGGGTTTGTTCTAATGTGATAAATGGCCCATTTGGACTGTGCACCTGTAAAGTCCAGTATTAATTGGAAGGAGAAGGTGCAGTCTGCTGTGTTAGAGCACCAGGTACCGGGGCTCCGGTCTGCCTCTAATGTGGACATCCAGAACAGGCTTGGATTTGTTGTTCTTACGTGCGAGTTCACTTTGCAGAATATTTGCTGAAATGAAATGTAAGCAAGCTGGTACCGGTGTCGTCTCCTCATCCGCCTCTCTGGAGGCTGGTTCTCTGTCAACAGCGTGCAGCCTGGCAGAGTTTAGTCAACCTGCTTGCGTAGTGACTGTGCAGCTGAGGTTTATGTGCAAAGCCGAGGCCAGAAAAGACACAAAGCTATTGACATGACATTGTGCCTCTGAAAGTTTCCCTCGCAGGTCTTAAAAGCTTGTTGTCCCAGAGTTAATATGCTCCAAAGCCCTGACTGATACTGACTGAATGCAGATAAACACTGTGCAAAGAAGAAAATAAAACACTGTACACGCAATGTTTGAGCGTTTCCCTCTGGTACATCTGGCCTGGGTGTCAGCCAAGGCAGCGCTGGAGTGGAGTCACACAATGAATTCCAATCGGGAGGGAAGGAGGGAGGAAGGGACAATATGAGAGTCTGAACAGCCACAGCGTCACAGGCTTGTGTAACAGGGACTGTTGAAAGCCACTGAAATGTCTGGTTTTGTGACAGAATAGAAAAAGATTGTTGTTATCGACCTGCACTGTGTTTAACTTGGAATAAAGGCTTCATCTGAAGCAGCCAAGCATTTAGCTAGTGACTTGTATACATCAGCTGGCGCCACATGGCAGTGAAGGATGACTGAAGTCAGGATCAAACGTCCTGTATTGAGATGTGTTTCTCTCAGATATTGCATAAACCAGTGGGCCAAGTATCGGTCGACTGATGAATTATGGGTTCGTTAATGTACGGTAAACAGCCGGGTTTCAGCTTCACAGTACGTGTGTCACCAGGACTGACTTACCAGCTGCTTCTCTACAGGGCTGCATGATGGATCAGTGGTTAGCACCACCGCCTCACAGCTAGAAGGTCGCCGGTTGGCGTCCCGGTGAGGACACCCGGGATCTTCCTGCGTGGAGTCTCCATGTTCTCCCCGTGCAGCGTGGGTTCTCTCCGGGTTCTCCGGCTTCCTCCCACAGTTCAGAAACATGCTGAGGTTAATTGGTGATTGTAAATTGTCCGTAGGTGTGAATGTGAGTGTGCTTGGTTGTCTGTCTCTAAGTGTAGCCCTGTGATAGACTGGTTACCTGTCCAGGTGAACCTGCCTTCACCCTGAGTCAGCTGGGATAGACTCTGCCCCCTGATACCCTAGTGAGGATGAAGGTGTAGAGATTTTAAAGTCTTTTCTGGCGTGTGTCCTGGTTGTTTCCATCCCATTTAGCGAGCTTGTAGGAATACCTGAGCTGGACATGACACACATAGCTAGCAGCAGCAGTAAGCGGCCTGTCGCCCTGTGGATTAATACGTTTGATCGAATCGAGGTCTGTTGTGTGAGACGGCCACGTGATGAATGTCCAAAACGCCTCCTCTGAGGACTGGCCTTTGCAGTCACACCCAGGGACGCAGAGTGCCTCGTCCCATCTTACACTCCTCCTGATGTGAGTTTCTGAAAAACACTGACAAGCACCTGACCCTGAAAGAGTGATTTAATGGAGCACCACCCTGTAGTGTTTGACTCATACCTCTCCTCAGGCTGTGTGTGTGTGTGTGTGTGTGTGTGTGTGTGTGTGTGTGTGTGTGTTGTCTCAATATGTTGTTGAACAAGCAGCTCTATGTAGTCAGCTGTCCGGTACAGTGTCGATGTCATTAATCACAGACCCAACACAGCGGAGAGAGCGAGTGAGCGGGGAGAGAGAGCAGGCCAGGCTGGAGTTGTAATCTGTACGAGGCACCCAGGGAAAGACGAGGAAAAAACAAGGGAGAGGGCAGAGATGAAAGGAGAAGGGGAGTCAAGAAGAGAAGGCTGTATAAATGAGACTGAGGAGGAGGAGCTGGTGAGCAGGAGGAAAGCGTTTATGGTTGAGCTTTGGATAGATTCTCTATAAGTGAAAGTATAGTCTTCATTGTTTGTCTGGTTGTCCACATTATAATGTGTGATAGCTGGCAAAGACTCTTATTTATTAAGTTAAAACCAACCACCCACTGTGCACCTGCCACCAGGTGAAGCTGTCTGTCTCTCCTTGTTTCTGATGCCGTGGCCTCGTTCACTGTGAGCTAGGAGCTGAACAACAGACGTATAGGGAGGGAACAGGACAGCAGAAGGGAGGGCTGATGGAGAAAATGTTGCAGCCAATTAACAGTACAGGTTTATATTGAATGCTGCCACACAGTCACATTCACCTGCAGATGGTTGGAAATGGTCAAGGTGTGGTCGTGACATGAGCCAACACTGTTTTAGGAACCAAACAGACATATGGTGAGGTCAAGTTATGTCTGTAGCACCAAGACAAAGTGCTTTACATCAGACACTAATGGCATTGCAGCAGCATGTAACAAACAATAACAATGCAATCTGAGAAACACATAATTGATCAATTGGTTTTAAAAGAAATAAAAACAATAAGATAGAAGAAGTCAGATAGCAGTGTAAGATACTGATGAATTGTCCAGTATTTAATCTAAGCGTATGTTTTGGCAAACAATAAAAACTTCACCCTGATTTTAAAGAGGCGTGAGTTGAACCAGCCTCCAGTTTTCTGGGAGTCAGATGATGAATGGTGCTTCTCCAGCTGAGCGCTGACGCTGTGGGCCTGCAGCTGTGTGTTCTCACCCTACACCATGCAGGGCTTTATAAAGCAGCAGCACTATTTTCATCAGTAAACTGTTGTAATCTGATATTTGTTTTCTGGCTCTGGAGAGGATTTTAGCAGCTCAGTGAGGAGTCCCTTGTTGTTGTCTGGCCAACTTCCTGAGACCTGTCGCAGCTCTTTCTCAGTCCTCCTGAGACATGATACCTTTAACTCTTGGTTTATTCTGAAGGACATCGTAGGCTGGTTTGTAATTGTCTAAATGTTAATGACAAAAACTACGCCAAGACATCTGACTCAGTCTGTGGTCTTTGTGTCTCATTACCTTTAAATCATTCTGCTTTGACTTTAAAAAGCTGTTTCGCTAACGGGACATTTTGGTATCTGCATAACTCTGGTGAGATTTTTGGTTGTTTTCCACAATCTGAGAATTCAGTTTGGTTCATCCAGATGTGTGATTCCTGATGTAAACAGGCCCTGTCCTTATTTCAGTTGACTGTGTGAAACCTGTCTCCAGAGCTCCAACAACACCAAGACTGAGACTTCTCTGTCTTTTTTAGTTTCCTGTGTCATCCAGGATCTTAACACGAGCAGTCTCTGTGCTGTGGTGCGATCGAAATCCTGATGAGAAAGCATGGAAGCAGTTATTAAAAACCAGGAACGTGTTCTGCTGAGAAGAGGGATCAGCTGCTGATGGATCTGTTCACAAACTGCTGATTTTCAACGGTTGTGTTGTGTATTATAGGAGGGAGACTTCTTGGTTCGGACCCACCACGTTGAATACTGCGACGGAGGGATTCTGGACCCTGATGACATTCTCAGCGATCTGGTAGAAGACAAGGACAAGGTGAGCGTGCACGGTTCTGTTTCTGCTGAGTACTGAGATGGGTTTTACTGTCTGTAAAATGACATGCAGGTGAGCCGACCGCCAGCAGTCACTGAAGGTGTGTTTTCTTGAATAACATGTGAAGTTAGTTTGTAGTCACTGCAATGCAAAGACCAAGCAGCTCTGCATGGAACTACAAGAGCTGTGTATGTAAATGAGTCCCTTCAGTGTTCTCATATAGCGCATATGATCGTCTGATTTATACATATGAAGCAGTCACATAGCACTGTGTGTGCTTTGAGAGGGTGTGTGTGTGTGTGTGTGTGTGTGTGTGTTCACCCTCCAGAGTACGGTGCTGCAGTGGCCTATCAGCCACTCCTTTGGATAGAATATTGCCTCTCGAGCAAAATTCAAAGGTAAAGGTTTTAACTTGCCTTCAGCATCAGGCAGTGTCATTAGCAATTCACTTCTGAAGACTTGAGGCAAATCCAATCCATAAATTCCCCATTCTTCTTATTTCCCCCCTGAGGAAAGTACCATTTTTCATTTAACCCTTTGGGAAGATCTGTTTTGTACTCTGGCATTATTACAGTGTGATGAACGGCCCAGATTGAGGACTTTCTGAGCCGTGGTTTAGGACCCTGAATGAATCCTGGGCCCTCTCTCGGTGGCTTTGCACATTAAAACAGTGTCAACATGTTTTAATGAGCCCGTGTCCTATGGTGAACTGAATTTTTCATTTGGGTCACAGTTAGAAAAAGTTGAAGAAGCTGCTGGCTATAAAATGTAAAGTACAGCGTATATCCCTGTCCTGGGCTCACACTGTTTGCCTTTAAGGATGTATAAATACTGCAGAAATTCTCTCAACTAATTAAGAACAAAGTTGCTGTAGTTGGCAATTCCTCCCAACGCTGCGAGAACCGCTGGGAAGCATTGCTCTTTCTCAGGCCTCCGTTGTTCTGCTCACGTCAAGAAAATCATTGGTTTTAGATTCTGTGGTCAAGACGTTTCTCCCACTGTGACTGCAGCTCCAGTGAAACGAGAACAGCTTCTGATCTCGTCGAGTGTTTTCAGCTCAACAAAGTTTGTAGAAATATGACCAATGAGAATTATCTCCGCTGCAGAAAGCGATATCCACACATGACATTTTTAGAAATCCGTCTTTCTTCTCTATGCTGACTTCATGTTCCTGATGTGCCTCCATGTGTCAGAGCGGGGTGGCTACATGACACGCTAAGCCACAGCCTGGGGGCCATGTGACTCAGTGACAGGAGCAATAAAGGAGTCAGGAGACCAGCCACTGACCTGGGGGATTACTGTTGCCATGGTTTTGGAGGGTTTCAGAGAGCAGCCTGCACTGGTCCTGCTGGTGGCTGCTCGTCGCCAGCGCTGTGCCACTGTAATCGTGTTTGTGACGGGTTTTATGTGGAGACGTTACAGTTGGAGTAGTGGATGCTCACTGCCCTGGTTTTACAGCCACACATCAGTAGAAGGAAAGGCGCATTTAATGTGTTTGTTTGGCTAATTCCAGGATTGTGCCCAAACCCGGTCATATTTTTAGTGCGTTTAAACCCCGCCACCGTTTCATCTGAGGCTCTGCATCAGTGTGCTGTGTTTCCTCTCAGTAGTACCACAATGAAACTGCAAAGAGCTGTGTCTGTGGCATGGACACTACGCAGTGCTCCATGTTTTATAGACGTGGAATCATCATTCTTTGGTTCCAGGAGACAGCCAATAAAAACAGGTGGCTTCAGGCTGCATGTCGATGCCTCTGTGCCAGCATGGATGGAGATACGAGGTTCTCAGGTCGTCCGTCAGTCCCGGTCTTATATCTCTGGAATATCTCTGGGACAAGTGTTGGATTTAAGGATAGAGGAGGGTTTATTTTTATTTTATTTTGGTTCCTTCCCTCTGTCTGCTTGCTCATAGGGAATCCAAAGACAACCACAGTATGGGAACACAAACCAGGTCTACACGCTTCAGTCGGTACAACATGAGCGTGAGCACACATAGATGTAAACTGCAGCTTGACTGGGTGGGAGGGGCACAGAACCACCAGGGGGCAGTTATTTTTCCCATCTGGTATCAGTGGATATGAGCCAATTACAGCTGATGTATTATGACTTTATGAAGTTGTAATGAGGAACATGGAGCCAATAGGTGCATATTTACAACGATTTAGTTTCCTTTGGTTTGGTTTTGGTCTCCATTGACTTGTGAGATGAAGATGTGGTTAGAAGATGTCCTGAAGAGCTGAAGGGAGCGGTGGTCTACTGCTGAGAGGTTGATGAAGAACTGAGTGAAGGGTTGATGTTAAACACACAGAGTCACCAGCAGTCAGAGGTAAGAACCGTTAAATACGTGTGTCATCATTTGCATAGCAGGTCCCGACTTAAAGCTGGTCCAACAGGTTTCTGTGTGGAGGTTATCAAGATAAGTGAATGTGACTGTGGGGAGGCTAGCTGGAGATGCACACTGTACACAGAACTGATTTGCATTTTGTCATAGCTTTGTTCTGAACGCTCTCTCTGCTACTCATTTCAAACAGATAGTGATGCTTTTTGGTAAAGTCCTCCGAATGCAGTCCGACTGCACAGAACACACTGTATGTTGAACCATCAAATGCAGCCCTGGAATCAAATATAAAAGCTCATGAATCCTATAAAATACACATTTCAACAGTGGGATCAAATAAAGGGCCTAACTCTAATTCCCCTAAAACACACACATGGTGAGATACACACAGACCCACACACACATGCACGCACACAGAAATAAACTGTACAGAATGATACCCGGCAGTGCGCACTTCTGAGCACCAGAGATTGCATATGAAATGAAAGTGTGAAATATTCATTGGATTCTGAAGCGAGGCTCTCATAGTATTACTGAGCTGAGATGAATAAATGGCTCCTAATCCCAGATGAGTGTTTTACTGTAGGCAGACTCAGACTGCCTGGCTTTAGGTTTAGAACCACAAAGAAAACAGAAGATATTTGAGGTCTGCTGAAGACAGAGGTCAGAAATACAGTTTAGAAAAAACCCGGGATGAAATACGCTCCAGTGATGCGCTGGAGAAAATGTGCTGCAAGAGTTTGAGGTGATATTTATGTGGCAGCTGTGGATCAATGTGGGTCTGGATCCTTTAGGCCTCATTTGCATCTGGTGTGAACATGTGATCTGTATCAGGATACATTATCTGGATGACTTCTGATCCATCAGTCTTTGCATTTACACCTGCTATTAAAATGTATTGTGGTTCTCTGAATTCTGCCTGCACTCTAATCACATCTCAATATGCAATATGCAAATGGGAGTATTGAGTGGGCTGCCTGATCAACAGACATGGTGCATCCCAGGTCAGGGAGGCTGGATGTGTTCTAGTTACTGCTCCACTGGTGACCTGATGCTGCTAGCTGTAGCTCTGCTTTGCATTGTTTTAGTTGGGAGGAAGAGGCAGAGCTGACGTTGCGCTGTACAGATTGTGTTTACACTGGGCTTGGATGTGGTCCGACTGATCCGATTGTGTTCTGATTGCATATGTTCTGTACGCACTCACCTTGCATTAGCTTGTTTTGTTCCCCTGATCCACATAAGTTATCTGGCTAATCTGTGAACGTGGGGCATCAGACAGAAGACACAGCACATCCGTGTACGTCTATGTGTGTGATATCTTTGTGTATTGTAGTCGTATGTGTATTCCTCCCAATGAGCTGCGATCCAGACACTTACTGTCAGAGGTCTATTCCTGTCTTGACTCCCAGACTGGAAATTCTTAAGCTTGAGTCGGATGTTGGCGGTGAACCAGGTGATGCATTTTTTCTATTTATTTGAACAGACAGCTCAGAGCCCTACCATGCATGAAGATGTGCTGACTGTTTCTCTCTTATCAATAGTACAGAATGCCAGAGTCTCACTGCTACAGTAAGAATTCACTAGCTAGCGATTTTCATTACATGACCCAAATGTTTGTCTTTATTTCTGCCCACTGCATTGAACATGGATGTAAACCAGAAGTACTTACCTGTGAATGTTTCTGTCCCATTACATACCTGCTATACAGTTCATGTCTCTCTTCACCTCACAACAGCTGCTAGCCATATTATGGGATGCACATTTATGGTACTTTACTTCTTGTTTGCTAAGAGGATCGATATCTGTTTAGTTTCTGTGTTTTTACATGTGTAGGACAGACAGGGCTTGTCTTGGTTTAGATTAACTAACTTGAACCAGTCCGGTACTGGATCCCTCAGCATGCCCTGAAGCTCAGCCCCGCCTCTAGAACATTATGCAGATGAGAGCACGTGATCAGCTGCGTGGGGTAACTCTGGGTGTGTGTGGTGTGCAGGTTTATGTGTAGATCAGCCGTCCCCACCTTTCTCTCCATCACCCTAATGTCTCCCTCACACATTGTTGTTTCAGGCTCACTCACAGCTTTATGCCAAAGAAAATGGAAAGTAAGCAGAAAATATGGATTCCCATCAGCATTTTCTGTGCTGCTGGAAGTGTAATTCCTAATGTGTTTTCCCATCTAGTAGAGATGCAGCAGCAGTCTCAGGGACCAGGGTTTGTTTAGAAGGTTAGCAGGTAATGGAGAGGTGGAGGAGGAGCACCGGTACCTGGTACCATGCTGATGTTTGGGCTGAGACATTTGATCAGATGCACCGTCTGCATTAAGCTTTACTAGCAAACAAGATTTAGGATGAAAGAAACCACAGCCGACATCCTCACACACACACACACACACACACACACACA